GGACGAGGTGCGACTAAATACATGAGGGAATAGGGGTAACAGCAGGGGGCAAGGCAGAGTCGGGGCCAGGTCGAGTCAGGGTCGAGCCAGGGTCGGAGCCGATACGGGGACCCTTCGGATGGGTTCCGGGCGACCCGAGATGGAACGAGAATCGTTACAGTAGCAACTACTTTTTAAACTAGTATAAAAAAGAAAATCTACTTTAAAATTAAGTTATTATAATTTTTAAGCATAGCTAGACTACTAATTAGCTTAGTCTAGACTAGTTAAAGCACTTTTATATATATATAAAGAAGTGTACTGTTAGCAGCTACTGTCTACTAGTTATTAATAGCTATAAGAGCTATAACTTACTTTATTTTTAGTAATACTATAAAGATAATAAGATTATTACTATTTATAACGTACCTAACAGGTTGGCCGGCCACACAGGTTGGCCAGCCACTTTTGCCAAGCCCTTACTAAACTCTACCTATCTACATAATGCCTTAACAACAACACTAGATTAAATCTTCTAAAAAACATTAGATACAGCTTACTTTTTAGGCTTTTAAATAAAACTTAAAACTCTTCTTATAACACGCTGCAGCTATCTATAATGTCTTTCACACAACACTAAGCAATTAACGCGCTAGACAGCCTTTACAAGTAGAATGCTAGCCTAAATTAAGGAATCTAACTAAGCTTAAAAAAAAGGTAGTTGTTAAGTACATACTTAAGCTTATAACACGCAGATTTCTCCTTAGGCTTACAGCTGTAGCTAATATAGCTAATTTCTTACCTATAAAGTGTAATCTAGGCTAGGTTAGCTTAAACTAGACTAGTATGTAAGTTAAGCACTGCCTTAAGTTTATAATAAAGTTTAATTATAAGTATAATTATAAAAGAGTGCTTTATAAGAATTTAAAAGTTATCTAAGGCTAGTTTTGCCTAGTAGCTAACATAAAAGCTAAGTATAGTATTTAAGATAAAAATAGGTATAACCTTAACAAGTTAAGCTTTATAATAGGCTAAATATTAACTAAAGTAGTTATTATAGCTTTAGAGAGACAAAGACAGCTAAAGGTAATATAGTAAAGTAATAAAAAGTAGACAATAGTTATTTAAAGTATTAACATAATAAAGTAGGCTATAAAATTACAGAGCTTTAAGCAGCAAATAAGGCTACTACGTAACATAAATTACATAAAAGAAAGCATATTTAGGCAAAAAAAACTTTAATAGTTAAAGATAAGGCTTATCTAACTACTTTAAAGAAGTTTAGAGCGCGTAGTAATAGAAAGAAGCTAAAGACATAAGTGCGCGCTAAAAAAAAGTAAGCTAAGTTAAAAGTAATATAGGTAGTATAATTAAACTAGGCATAACTTGCGTATGTGTAAGTAAGTAGTAAAAGTAGACTCTAAATAATATCTTATGTTGTATTACTCTATACAGGGCTAAAGTGGGCTGTTTTGCGAGAGAATAGGGTGGTTTTAGTAGGGGCTTAGCAAAAGTGGCCAGCCAACCTGTGTGGCTAGCCAACCTGTTAGGTACGTTATACTTTTTTACTTATTACACCTTTTATAGCTACTTAATGTAGGTTGTTTTACTTCTTTAAAAAAGGTGTATAAGTGCTAAGCTAAAAACCTTATATATAACTAAATTACTTATATTATAAAAATAAAGTTTCTACTATGCTTTAAAGCAACTTATAATGCTATAATTACTTTTAGTAATATCTAAGAAGGGTTTTAAGGCGCTAAATTAGTTTCTTTTAACTTATAATAAGTTATAATAGGCTTTAATGTAAAGTTGCGCACTCTATTACTACTACTACCTATATATAACAAGCCCTAGTAGTTGTAAACTCTAAGTAATACCTTAGAACTTAAGTTATAATTAATGCTTATAAAAATAAAGATTTAAAAGCATATAAATAGTTTACTAACTTTTATAGTTAAAGTGTTTAAAAAGGTCTTAAAAAGGGCAGCAATAATTACACATAAGCTAGTGTTAGTATAATAAGAAATTACTAAGCTTTAAGTAGCTAATAAAGCTACTACATAACATAAATTACATAAAAAAAAGCAGATTAAGGTAAAAAAGACTTTAATAATTTAAAAAAGCCTATACTTAATAGCTCTAAAGGAGTTTAGAGCGCGTAGTAACAGGAAGAAGGTAAAGAAGCAGGTGTAAGCTAAAGTAGGTAAGCTATTCTAAAGGCGCTGTAAACAGTGCAATTAGACTAGGCATAACGCGCAAATGTGTAAGTAAGAAGTAGAAGTAGTATCTAAATAATATTCTAGGCTGTACTGTACTATATAGTGCTAGAGCAGGTTGTTATAGGCTATAATAGAGTTTGTTAGGGTGGGGTCTTGGCAAAAGTGAGCGACTCAGGTGTGTGAGCAACTTGCCTATGAAGTACGTTACACTTTTTTTAAAAAAGTAAAACAACTTATATTAAAAGGCTATAAAAAGTGTAATAAGTGTAAAAGTATATAAATAGTAATAATCTTATTCTTTTTATAGTACTACTAAAAATTAAGTAAGTTATAGCTTTTATAGCTATTAATAATAAAAAGCTAATAAGCGCTTATAACTTTTTTTTATATACTTATTAAAGTGCTTTAACTACTATAGCTTAAGCTTATTTATTATCTAGCTATTCTTAAAGACTATAATAACCTAGTTTTAAGGCAGATTTTTTTTATACTAAGTAAAAAGGTAATAGCAGCTTTTAAAAATAATAAAAAGTAAAATAGCTTACTTTATTATATTAATGCTTTAAATAACTATTATCTACTTTTTATTACTTTACTATATTACCTTTAGCTGTCTTTATTTTTTTTAAAGCTATAATAACTGCTCTAGTTAATATCTAGCCTATTATAAAGCTTAACTTATTAAAGTTATATATATTTTTATTTTAAATACTATACTTAGCTTTTATATTAGCTACTAGGTAAAACTAGCCTTAGATAACCTTTAGATTTTTATAAAGTACTCTTTTATAATTATACTTATAATTAAACTTTATTATAAACTTAAAGTAGTGCTTAACCTACATACTAGGCTAGTTTAAGCTAACTTAGCCTAAATTACACTCTGCGTGTAAAGAATTAGCTATATTAGCTATAGCTATAAGCCTAAAAGAAAATCTATGTGTAATAAGCTTAAGTATATACTTAATAGCTACTTTTTTTAAGCTTAGTTAGATTTTTTAATTTAAGCTAGTATTTTACTTATAAAGGCTATCTAGCACATTAATTACTTAGTGTTATATAAAAGACATTATAAATAGCTATAGTGTGTTATAAGAAGAGTTTTAAGTTTTATTTAAAAGCTTAAAAAGTAAGCTATATCTAACATTCTTTAAAAAATTTAATCTAGTGTTGTTGTTAAGGCATTATGTAAATAGGTAGAGTTTAGTAGGGGCTTAGCAAAAGTAGCTAGCTAACCTGTGTAGCCGGCTAACCTGCTAGGTACGTTATAGTATTACTAAAAATAAAGTAAGTTATAGCTTTTATAGCTATTAATAACTAGTAAATAGTAGTGTATAATAGTATACTTTTTTATATGCATGTTAAAGTGCTTTATCTAGTCTAGACTAGGCTTATTAGTAGTCTAGACTAGGCTTGTTAGTATTCTAGCTGTGCTTAGAGACTGTAATAACTTAATTTTAAAGTAGATTTTTTTTATACTAGTTTAAAAAGTAATTCCTACTCTAAAAAATAATAAAAAGTAAAATAGCTTACTTGTTAGCATTAATACTCTAGATAGCTGTTATCTACTTCTAGTTATATAAATAGACTACCTTAGGCTATTCTTATTTTTTAAAGCTATAATAACTACTCTAGTAAATATCTAGCTTATTATAAACTCTATTTTATTAAAGTTATACATGTTATTATTTTAAATACTATACTTAGCTTTGATATTTTTATAAGGCTAAGCTAGCTTTAAATTACTATAAAAAATTTATAAAAAGCTATTTTATAGTTATTCTTACACTTAAACTTTACTTTAAGCTTTAAAATAATACTTAATAAATATACTAAGCTAGTTTATGCTAATATAGCCTAGATTATACTTAGCGTGTAAAGAATTACCTATATTAGCTATAGCTGCTAGTTAAGAAAGAAATTCTTATATATTTAGCTTTTATAAGTTAGCTATATAATTAGCTTAAAAAAGTTATTTAGTGTTTTAGTTACTTATTATTTTTTAAAAGACTTTATAAATAGCTGTTGTAAGGCCGAGATAGCGCTTACGTGCGACAGGTATATATACTATTCTGCACTCGAAAATCAACGTTGGTTGATTATTTGTACCTTTTGGTTGTATTAGCGGAGTGGTGCAGAGCCCTGTCCTTACAGCTGTAGTATATTTCTTAAAAAGTATTATATTTTATTTAAAGGCTGAAAGTATAAGCTAGCTATATTTAATTTTTTTTAACACATTTAAGTAGTGCTATTAGAAATGTATTAGTGTAAAAAAAGTAGTTTAGTATAGTCTTAGTAAAAGTAAGCAACTTAGGTGTGTAAAGTAACTCGCCTGTGGTGTACGTTAAGAGAAACGCTAGCTACAGAGGCTAGAAACTGCTAACCCTAAGACCATACTCTGTTTGGAGTAGCGTCCTCAGATCTCTCATCACCTTGGCTAAGTTAGCTGAGATGAAGTTTTGTGTCGGATGAAGGGTGTGCTAACCCAAAGTGTATTAGCCTCGCCAAGAAGCGTGTGATGCTTTTGGGAACGGACCAGGCATGAGGAACTCTGTGAAGCTATGTGAAGCACTAGAGGCATGAGGAACTAGATTGCATTAATTGCTAGAGGAGTCCTTTGTAGGAGTCTATATATATGCGAAATAAGTGGGTAAGTCTTGGTGCATACGACTATGGTGACGACGCATCAGACCATGGTGACGACGCATTCGACTATCGTGTGACTACTGCAAACAAACTCAGTTGAGTGCTAATGGAGGGTATCTAAGGGTCTATATTCTCAAAGGAGTCAGCGAGGCAGCATGATGCTTGGCAAGTAGCGTTACTAAAGGTAGGTTAGTCGATGAATACGAGCAGGTGGGGCTCGGAGAGCTCCGTACATACAAAAAAATCGCTGAAAGTAGCCAGGGAGCTTACTATTTAATACCAACACTCCACCAGTGGCACTTCTTATTAACACCTCATCCCCTTTGTGAGACAAAGAAGACATATCTTTAATTATGCCGACAGATCGGGCGCTATATTCCACCAACTGGCGGGTCAAAGATCCCGCTCCGCTTTCACCGCCTGCTTCACATGGTAATGTGAAACCTCAGCCATCAACGGCGCCAAGCGACCTTCTTTGGGGTAATCCTCTTGAGCGAGACAGGCGATTGAGGCGAGAGTATAAAGCAAAGAACGAAGCCACTCGCCCTGTTGCACAGGGCACAAGGATTTATGTAGGAAACATGCCATATGTGGCGAAGAAATCCGATGTTCAAAGCCTGTTCGAAGACGCAGGGTACACTGTGTATGTGGATCTCATTCCATTGAAAGAGTTCTCGTCTTCTATCTGCAAATTTACCGTTCATTTCTCACACCGTAGCAAAATTGTATCATCTAACCAATTCCTTGAAGCGAAAATATCGACATCTCCATGGACCCATTCACGCATCGAAACCCTTCATACTGCTTCGTAGACTTCGACACCGAAGAAGCCGCCACATCCGCCATGGAAACCTTAAACGGCAGACAATTCTTAGGGCGGCCTCTCAAGCTCAAACCATGTATTCAGAAGCGATCTGATCCCAGCAAGCTAGAATCCGAGGGTCTGATGTTCAGCCGGTGGCTTGACGATTCTCCAAGCGGAAACCAAGCCAAAAGTGGCGCAAACGACACTTTTTCCACCTCAGACCTCCAAACCGTCAAAGAAAATAGGACCCTGTGGGTTGGTGGCCTTCCCAAACCCCTCGATCAGCATACCTCTGACACTGCGATCCGCAATCTCTTCGCCGACTTCAAGGTGGAAGCTGTGTCGATGGTGAAATCACCACATGATTCTATGAAGCTGCAACGCATACCTGGAAACCATTTTTATGCGTTTGTTGACTTCGACTCCCGTGAGGAAGCAGAGGCGGCTGCGAAGGCGATGAATGGGCGTTTGGCATATGGGGGCCGTTTGAGGGTTAGGAAAGCGCGGATTCCGTCGATGAGGGCGGTTGATGGAAGGGGAAGTGGGGGTGGGGAGGAAAATGAAAGAGAGGCCGGAGAGGTGCTGAAAAGTGTTGAGACTACTTAAGGGATAGGGCCTCCCGGCTCAGTTAACCCATTAAGTACACCGGGCTCATTTGGGGTATGTCCCCAATCTTGTCTATTTTTCAGATGGACGAGATGCACCAAAAAGGCGCATGCGTTCGTCTCAGAGTAAAAATCGCGATCGGCAAGGATGCTTCCTCTATTGTCAATTAACCTGACCCCCTTACTCTTCATGATGATTCTGCTGATTTCAATATGCAAGTAGTTTTTTAGATTGCAACGGTCTTGTACTGTGCTGTGGGCAAAACTCAATTAGCAGACACGTAATCTCTATACCCCAACGCGCGAGGCTAATCTAATGCTTTTCATATTTACTGTAAGGCTTCCGCTCCGAGCACTGCCTCTTCAGAGTTCAGAGAATAAGATCCGGAGCGTTATTGGATCTGAACATGTACTAATGACAAGCCTTTCCATTTCGTGAAGGAAGGCACCGTGACTGCTTAGCTGGCTCGATGTTCAGCTCGCGCTTGGCAGGGCATACTGAGGACGAGCAAGGCTGAAGTAGTCAATAGAAAGTCATATAGCGGTGCCTAACATAAGAGACTGATATATGCCGGCTGGGGGCTCGTCTGAACTGCCTCGGGCAAGGCAGTAAAACACCACTGCTAAGAGTGTTCGAGCGATGATGTGGAGACCCGTCAGGGAAAGCACGCCGAGTACCGCAAGCCGCTATGCGCCTTTGCTTATGCTGTTAAGATGTGTAGTCTCCATCGCGAGGCCGAAAGTCGTTAGTCAGACTCGCGCACGGAACACACAGAACTGCAGCGTGGCCAACAGTCCGTAGTACGTAACGTAACTACGTGAACGTAGTAATCACGTGAGGAGTACAAAAGTAGTTAAAATGTGAGACGTAACTTTTGTACAGTGAATTGCCAAGTACGTCCCGTAGTACGGGTCAGAGAGGTCATATTTTGGGAGATTTCCCTCCTGTTTTCAGACCCCATTGGCCATCGCGTTGGGAGCTTTGTTTGAGGTCGCGTTTTAGAGTAACAATTATAAAAATAGTTAACTTTTGCCCTAGAAAAGCTCCTCATCTTATACCTGCCTATTTGCCAACCTATTGCCTATCTTATTAATTGTTACAATGAGCTAGATGTCTTAATTCCTCTATCGCAGCAGGCATACAGCCTCATCCTAATCCTCCTGCTTATCAGAGTCGTCCCAACAAGCTAGAGACAGGGCGATAAGGAGGAGGAGGGGACTTCATCTAGGCTAAAAAGCTTCTCCCGGAACAATTTTGACCCGGACCGACGAAACTTCTCGCGAAAAGTACAAAAGTATAAGGATTTTGAGAAGTTACTGTTACGTTACGTACTTGCTAATCAATTCACTGCTTACGTACAAAAGTACTACCAAATTGAGAAGTTACTGGCAGAAAAAAGCTCAAACGTAACGTACTACGTACTGTTGGCCACGCTGCAGAACTGAAAGCTCACGTTGCGAGTGAACGGGAAGCGAAAAAGACACATGCAGAGCCGTGACGCTTGATGGGCCAGACCAAGGCTTCAGACTGCTTCGCCCCAAATGGCTTCAAGATAGCCGCAAATCTTCCAATCCGGCGATGAGCGTCACTACACTAGGCTTGGCGGGCCAGTCCCGCGAAAGTCTGTACTGAAGAAGGAATCATAGTTTGTAGTTCAATCCTCTTCAAAAGAAAGAGTAATAAATTCTGTTCAACTGGGATGTGTATGACAAAATCATTGGTGAGCACGGAATGAGTGATAGGGTAGGCTGATACGATTTCTTCGAAACGCCCACGTTGTTGACATCAAGTCTCCCATAGTGTAAGCATATACCATGAAACAGATGATATGAGAATGTTAAACAGAGGCAAAACCATTTGGTACATCTCATGATCAATTTGGTGTGGATAGCTCGTAGAGGCTCCTGTAAACGTAGAAACGACCGGCCATATTCCAATTTCCGCTGCTGATTTGCTGTATAGTCTGTCAAAGAAAATGCTGGTACATTTAGAATAGTATTATTATCACGAATATGGATACCTGTGCGAGTGTTAGAGAGATGTCCGAAATTTAGCTAATCGACACATACCATCCTGATGAACAGACCGCAGTGGTTAAGCTGGTTGCCGTTTCTAACCAAGACTTTTGTTACCGTAACCACCCTCGGAAGGTTAGTGTCCTGAGCAGATGTTGTCGAGTCTCGTCCTGTGGGAATTATGACTGTAAAAATCGGCGTAATACTTGACGTAGAAGAAGCAGTCTTAGTCACCGGACTGCTGCTCGTCGTTGCTGGACTGCTGCTCGTCGGAGAACTAGTTCTACTCGAGGTGCCGGTGGCCGCGGTCGTTGTCGTAGCCTTACTCTCCGGAGTGGTTCGTATGGCGATATATCCCATTTCGTTACAGTATCCGTCGTACAACCCGATAGCCATTGCTACATCTGTTGAGTATCCACCAGCTGAAGAACATCCGCTCTTGACACAGGTACTGAAGTGTATCTCGGCTACAGTCTGCAGATCTACGCAACACCAGCAGGAATGTAACGCTCCTGTGTTGATACCTTGACCCCTGCAGTTCAGTGCTCGTGCGACACCATCGGCGCTCTCACCGCCCCAACAAAGTACCAATAACATTTCTGAGCACAGTCTCGTAGCTCTGTATATCCGTCGAGGCTTTTATTGTCTGAGGTGGATCACCTGAGGCAACAAGGCTGGAAAGGAGCAGGGGAAATGCGAGAAATAATGAGAATTCGCGAGGTTTTGGAGATGGACCATTTCGTCAAAGAGGGGTAATATCAGGCAGAATAACAGCATAAGATAGAGTGTAAGGTTGGACTTCAAAGTGCAGACGTCAGTGGCACTTAACGAAGAAGGAAGACTCGGCTTTGCCCATTTCGCTCGCTTGTGGCATCTTCTCCAAGACACGCTCATATACCAGCCTCAACGCCCTCGCTTGTTATACGCGAGACTAAATCACTTGAGTGATGTCGCACAGCTCTAATCACTGCTTTCACCACAAATTCTACAATTTTGAGAAAAATGCACCAGGGACAGAATGTTAAGAGTGCAAGCATATGAGACAGATAAGTGGGGATGCTAACACTAGCGCTAGGGAAATGCTGATTTGACACAATAGAGAGGCTGAAATTGGTAGAGAGAAGGATACGGCAAGCAGTCAAACTAAAGTAGAAAATGAAGGATAGGCTAATGACAATTGAACGACAAAACACAACAAAGGGAAAAACAAAACTAAGACGAAAACCAGAACCAAGGGCATGGAAGATACTTACGGACTTTAAAATTCTTCGATCAGGCAGAAGGCAGCTTCGCAACCTGCTTCCATGTTCCAGTATACTGCCAGTGCCACAAATCGCCATTGTTATCTTCCACAATAGCTTCAAGGGCGTGATTGAAGCTACCTTGCACCAAACCCCATACATGCCTAATGTTACTACCGAAAGTGGCCATCTGCTGCCATTTCCCTTGAGACCCGTCTACAGGCGGAGTCTTGAGGATGTCATCGTTGACTCGCTGCCAATGATCCACATGGCCATTGTGGGCGACTAGTAGCTGAAAGCCTCCGAATGCGTTCTCATCCTTCGTCCAGAAATCTTGGATCATGACTGGTGGAGTGTCACCAATGTTGTAGCCTATAGCGAACCTCTCGCCCTTTTTCCATTCTTCGTCTTTGGCCTTTCGCCAGAACATTTGTAGGGAGCCATCGTTCTTTACCGCCACCACGTACAAATTGCCCGATGTTGTCGGGTCGTAAAGGTCATATCCAATGTTTGACTGGACAAGAGATGGCCCAGATTGCTTGATATCGGCCTGGGCAACTAGACGCTTGAACTGGAACTTCCCAGTCTTCACTGATCGCGTGAACTACGTGTTTGTTAGCCACTTATTCATGCGTAACGCACAAAGGCCTACCTCTCCAAGACCTGAGTTGCCAATCCAAGGTACATAAACGTGCGCGACAACTGTAAAGTCGGAGTTGTCGTTCTGAATGAAGCCAGGGTAGCCTCGAATCTCTCCTCCATTCACGGGATAGAATAGATCGTCGGTCGCCGGTGTATTCCACCACCTATTTTCGGACTTGCTGTAATACCAATGTGTAAAGGAATTGTCGTAGCCTTCCCAGTACAATGCCTCTTTCTGTCGCCCGAAGGTTGTTTCAAGGAGCATTGGTTGCCCTTTAACTGGGTTGTTCGGGCCGTAACCTATGGGATATTGTTTGCGGAGCTCGGGGTCAAGAACATTGATGGTTTCTTTGACACTCCACGCAAGGGAACCTTCGCCTGAACGAACAAGCCGTACCATGTTACCACCAACTTTACGTCGAAGAACCTCAAAGTCGCGATGCGTGGTGCCGTCACCGCTCTGGACGATATTGCCGTTGGAATGTCTTCCACGTGCATGAGGATCAGGAGACAAATTCGTAACACCGTGCTTCGGCCGGTACCAGCTGTCGATTGCAACCTCTCCGTATCTGTCGAGTGCAATTAGTCAGCACCACCTTACACATTCGTTGCACATGCTTGCTGGTACTTGTGACGTACCCAATATAGACATAGCCATGATCGCCATAGTCACTCCCCCAAGAGTTCCGTACGATCCAGCACTGCCGATAGTCATCGTATCCAACAACTAGCATTGCGTGCCCTCCATGGCTTTCGTTTGAGATCGGCGTATGTTTGTACACACCTTTGCTTGGCGTCCAACTCCCAAAGTCGCTGTAGCAGTCGATACCGGCCGCTAGCGGTCCAACCTGCCATAACCATCGCTTCTGGTCATTAATATCAGTAAGTTCGTAGTAGTCCTGTATCTTCAAAGCTCTTCCTGATCGATCGCTGCATGCCATGTAGGGACGATCGGCGTCGACATATGTGTCGCAAGTGTAATCCACCAGACCGTTTCCTTCGCCCTTAATCCATTCTAGGCCAGCAAAGGCTTTGTATCCGGAAGCACAAGTACGACCAGTGCCTTCCAGAAGTTCGGCTTCACTGCGTTTGTTCCAAATGCCGTGTTGGATGCGGGCGATAGTCTCCATTAATGCGGTGGCCGCAAATGACCAGCAGCTACCGCAAGCCTTTTGGTCCTGGAGAAGCACTTAGAAAGCGCGCAATCGAAAATCACCTTCAATCACTTGCCTGAATAGTTGCAAGCCAATTAACGCCCCATCGATTTCTCCAGTCAACAACTTTGGGCAACGGTCCCGAAAAGTTGTCGCAGCTAGTGTTTCCACTTGTACCTGGCCGGGGAACCGGACCACAGTTAGTAGATTTGAATACGTTATTCCAATTGAAGGTCGCGGTCGCGGTCGGCATTTGAGTACGGGTAGGTTCATCTTCAAGGCCCATGAAATAGGTCTTCGTGGCCGAGTTGGCGGTCACAACAATGGACTTGGGAGGAATGTCATTGCTTGTTGGGGGTGGAGACAGGGTGGAGGCTAAAGGTGTAGATTCTTCAGTGCGGAATATTGACTGAGACGATAAGATAGTAGACTTGAAAGCTGAAGGTTCGGTAATTGTGGGAGAAGGGGGACGGGTCAAGGTAAGGAAGCTAGGTTCCAGGGATTCATTGACAGATGGGGATGGTAAAGGTGCAGAAGAAACCGGGGCGAACTCAGTTTCAATGACTGTTGGCGATTCCAACAAGGTAGAGGCAATGGGCTCAACAGTGAGCTCTTGCTGCTCGGATCGCCGCTGCCATATGCTTAGAAATGAGCCCTTTCCGGCATTGGAACAGGGATATAACTCACCACAACTGCACATTCAGTCCATGTGATGAACGAAAGAAACAAAACACTGATGGATTTCATGACTGAGAAAAGAGATATGGCTGAAAGGGGAAATAGGACTCAAAAGCAACGAAGAAAGACAATTGTTCGAAAGCAAGTGCACTCAAGCATTCGAACGCACTACCTTTATATTCTACAAGAATGAAAGAGCTGTATCTATCATAAATAGCATATCCCAAAAAGCATTTGCTGCGACAGGCAGTGCATAATCAGCCGGTTTCGACCCAGCTAGAAACGATGCCTATAAGGAGAGTATTTCTGAGCTGCAAAGGCTGAATATGATTCAAAAGCGATTCACAAGCCTTTCGTGGCTGTATCAACCTACATCTTGCAAAATTCCTTGCCGTATTGAATATGTCGTGTCCAATGATAGCTGAGACTGACCTTGAGGTAGGACTGTGGCTAGACTGGTGTGCTTAGCTTGAGCTGGGTAGGGTGATGACTGATGTCCTGATCGGATGAAATCATGTGTTGGCCCAACGTTCCGAGAAACTCACGAAGTGAATCTTAGCCCACGGTTCGAATAAAGTTTCTCCACATCTTGAAATAGATGCAGCTGAATCAGCTGCGTCCTTCAGCCTCTTTATGTCACCTGTTCAAATCTGTCGATCTCGTCCTATTTCTACGAAGAACTCAGGAACACTGCCATCTTCGAGGCGTGCCGAGAAAATGACAGCTCAGGTCGGTTCCTACCGTATGTTCAATCGTACTGTTTCGTAGCCATCGCACTGCCTCAGATGTGCGTTCTTCAGGGGCAGTTGCGTCTCAGGTTCTTGAGGTAAGCATGATGACGAAAAGGAGTGCTTTGGAACATACTTAAGGTAAGGTCCGAGATGGAAGCCTCCTAGCAAGGGAAAAAGAGGGAACATTTGATGAAACTCGAGGAAAGAGTGGCAGAAGAGAAGAGAGAAGTCGAATTCCGAGATCCGAATATACTCCGATATCATCGATAAGCACAAGCAGTCGTTCATCCCTTCCATATTTCTTCTCACAGAAGCGATGCACTGTTTCACTTAGAATCTCCCTTCCCTTAATATGTTATTATTGCATTAATTTACCCCCATTCCAATCCCTCAACTTCGTTAACTTGACTTTCGTTTTGCATAGGTATAGCGACAACCGAAGATGACAACGAAACATCGGAGGTGTACAATTGCATTAATAGCAAAGCTTTTGTGGCAAAAGTTTACCGAGTTTAAAAAGATTTGAGCTCAACCATTTCTAGCGTTACGTTTAAAAAATCCCTGCATTCAAAAGGAAAGTATGAGTTGAATCAATTTGATGCCCCGAGTGAAATGCGAACGTCCCCTCTTAAGGCCGAGGCGGCTCGACGCAATGGTGGCTACCAATACAGTGGGTGCAGCAAGCCCGGTTATCATTTGGCGCCATAGCACCACATAGACCTAATATCGATCAGATCCTCATATCTGAACACATTTTAGGGGGTACTTACTCCAAGCGGGCAAGCAATGATTCGTACAGAACGTGAGCTTTAAATCGGTGCCGGCTTGACAGACCTTCACTTGGCTTCCCGCTGGCGGTGCTCCGGAGTACCAATCGATAGATGCACAACCTGTGTCACTGGGTTTGATATTGACCGCTCTTCCAAAGAAACCATCGCCAAAGACATCGCTCATATCGTACCAAACTTGGTTCTTCTTCGCATCCAGATTGTATGCAAAGATCGTCTGGCTAACGTTGGGTTGGAAGATGCCGTCATCGACGGCAGTCAGTTTGATAGCAATGCCACCGCTCTTTGGATCGGAGTGGAAGATCTCGCTATACGAAGCGTCCTTTCCAACTTTGATTTTCTGGCTAATAGTCGAGCCGACGGACCAGAGCCAGATGGGAGCATCGCATTGGTTGTTGACAATGGCGCGTCCGTAGCCTTGGGCCGCGGCGATGAATGTCGCAAGGGTGATGAGACTAATAAGCATTTTGTATGAGGACAGAGTAATGAGAGTAGTCGAAGGTTCTTGGATCAATGGGCTTTCGATATCCTCTGGAAGGCAATCCGCCTTCTTTTTATATTAATTAGCATCTCTTAGCGCCAAACGAACAATAATTTCGTGCACCCAGGTTTCTCCAAATCCAAGTAACTTTCGATAAAATGAGTCTAGGCACGAGAAGTATTTGGAGAGATTGGCGAGATGATAAGCATTGTTCGCGAGTGATACGAAAAATAGTGCTCGGTTGCGGCGTTCTGATCTGCAAATATCTCGTAATGAAGAAGGTCACCTGCACAGCATTTTTCAGCCGCAGCAGAGAGCGAATGGGAAGATCGTATTCGCACGTGACGTGGACTGATCTTCTACCATGGGAGCGAGGCCTCTGAATCAAGAATGGTTCGTTTCGTGGTCACTTGTCAGAAATCGTATTTTTGGTGGTCTGACTGGATTTCATTTATTGTAAAAATAGCACTCTGTGCATATTTGATGTATGTCGCTTCTCAGGATTTCATTATCGGTAGACGGCAGTGTATCCTGTTGTAGCATACGCTAGAACGAAAAGATTGATTTGAATTGAGAGTTCTAGAATGATGTTACTAGCTGATATAAACGACAGATTACAGCTGAGAAAACTGCTTTCCTTCCCCGCAAAAGCTAGGCCGAATGGAACAATTTTGCGCGGCGAAATCTAAGTCCTAGCTACTAGGTTCTACAATACATCAAAGATACTCTTCACTTTCAGCGAGGAGCTCAGTAAGTAAAGAAAAAGTCCGGATGCTTACTTCCAATCTCATCTATACTCAACTCCCTCAATCTGGCTGCTTTCTCACCATCTAATTCCGTCAATTTATTCTGATTCATTCTCTTCAGGTACACAACCGTCAACATGGCCACAACTCCAGACATACAAATCAGGCCTAGCGAAGCGCTCATACCCTTCCGATAAAATGGGGGATCCTGGTATGCCTGATTCCCACTAATCGATAGACACTGAGAAATTACGTTGATCATTGCCACAGCACTCGCACGATATGTGTACCCAGGGATATTCGCAGCCATCCAGGAAAGTGTGAGCACAGTGATCGGATAGACGCCAGCAGCGAGCATACATGTTGCAATGAGGCGGCCTAGGTTATTCCTGAGACTAAGGAGGAGAACGTATCCGAGGGCAGCGACGGCGCTGCAAACCGAGATCACGATGCCGCGAAGTTTAATCTTGTCCGAGATACGGCAAGCGACAAGGATGCCGACAAAAGCGCTGGCGTATACCACGACGGCCAAGAGTTGTGAATTTACGTCGGAGTAACCAAGACCCTGAAGGATGGCCGGAATGAAGTTAGACAACGATGAATCGCAGAAATGGGAACCGCAGTCAATGAGGGTGAACATCCAGAATTGTGGTTCTAGGAGGAGCTTAAGAATGAGTTTCGGGCGAATTTTTGATTCACCGGTATTGTGGGCAGCGCGACTTCGTTGGATGACGGCGGCCTTTTCTTCAGGCTTGAAGCCCAAGCGAACAGTTTCGGGTGTCGATGGGAGAATACTGATGATCACAAAGGCCCACGCAACGGGTAGTATGCCCTCGATCAAGAATATCCATCTCCAGGAAGACCATCCGCCCTTGGCGTCGAGTGTACGTTCAATGGCGTACGCGATCAAGCCATTGAAGGACCCAGCAAGGGCACTAGTAGAGTAGAGTATGGCCCCACGAGTCGCGAGCTCATCGTATCTGTACCAGAAGGATAGATAGAATACCGCGCCTTGAATTAAAGCTTCTGCTACCCCAATAAATGTTCGAACAACCATAAGGCCACTGTATGAATTGACCTTGACAGTACATGTTGTAATAAGACCCCAGGCAATCATAGCGAGTCCGAACTGGAAGGACCTAAGCCTAATGCTGGGAAGAGCTTCGTCACGAGAGACGTACCTGGAGAGGTGGGCCAATCTTTCTCAAGAGAAGGGTGCCGGGGAGTTGAAAGGTGATGTAACCAACGAGAAAGATGCTGCTCACATTTGAGTACATTTTTGGCGATAAATTCAACTCATCGTCCATGCCTGCAATTTTCGCATTCGCCAAATCAGACCGCCCCTGGCGTACGTATCAGCCTTACGGGTAAATGAGGGAGGACGAATGTATACCATCTGAGCAAGGAAGTACACCGATGAAAGTAATGGCAGAATCATGAAGTCAATCTTCAACTTCACGCGTCTGTCCAGGCTCGGAGATGGTTGGCCCATCTCGGATTGCATCATCCGATCTCCCTCAAGATCAGCCATCACTTCTCTTTGTTCAGGCTTTGGCTTAGCTTCGGCCATGGCGGAGGTTGATTTAAAAATTTTGGAATAACAAAATAGGAGTTCTTGGGATATGAAAGCGGAGTTTAAGATGGCGAACTCGGGCTGGGAGAATAGTTCCTCCTTCAGCACAGTGAACGGGACTTATAGTTGTATTCACAACGCCCCGTTGAAAGGGCCGCCTTGCAACACATGTTGAGGTTTTTCGAGCTCCCTCGGTTGATTATTGCGTTGGATTGGTGAAGTTTGCGAGATATCCTGGGCAGCATGAATGGATCTCAGCTAATACCTTCCATGACCACAGATTGCGGAAAGGTACGTGTTCTATTGTGGCTCAACCGCGGCCTCACGTCGTATCTAGATTGGACAGAGCTAGGGCGAAAAGCGACTGTCGGGGTCGAGGACGAAGTTCGCAATTGGGGAGTGCGTGCGGAGAAGCGAAGCTCGCATGGGACGCCGAAACTCGCCTCTAATGGCGACGTCGGTCATGCGCGGGAAGAGGCCTAACTGTTCGGAGACTCGGACTTGACGGAGAGGAGATGAAGGAAGAAACATATATAAGACTTTTCATATACAATGGTTGAAACTTGGCTTGGAATATTTCAATACTTCCTCCTTCCAAAGAAATCGTCGTCGAGGATATGTCGTCCGAAAATGGAAATTGCCAGAATGAGCTGGCTCCTCTGTGCCACATTATCACTCCAGTTGGGATGCTTGGCTATGGATTTCTCGAAGAACATGTCACTCCCGCCCTTGAAAAGCTCGTGGGAACAAACGTGCCAACAGCGCTTATACTGGACTCTGGGTCCACAGACAGTGGTCCTTCTAAGCTGGCACTTGGAGAATCATTACTCCCACGTCCCTCATACGTTCGCGACCTGACGAAGCTTCTGAAACTAGTCGACAAGTTCCACGTTCCCTTGATCTTTAGTTCTGCGGGTGGCGATGGAAGTGACGACCATGTTCGGGATATGTTGGGCGTTATTGAGGAGATCGCAGGGAAGAAAGGAAATGAGTACGGGGGCCTGTGTCTTTACTCGAGTAACTATATGCTGACCACACGCCAGACACTATCAATTGAAGACCATTGGGATTTTCTCAGAAGTCAAGAAGTCGCTCATTCTTGATCGATTGCGCACAGGCTCTATCACCGGCTGCGGATCAGCTGTGCCAGCCTTGACAGAAGAAGACATCGAATCTTCACCTCGTGTTGCATCCCAGATGGGACCTGAACCTTTCGTGGACGCAATGAAGGCGAATCCAGATTTCAACGTTATCGTGGGAGGCAGGGCGTACGACCCTGCACCTTATGTTGCATATGCCGCTTACATCGCCGAGGCACAACCTAAAGATGCAGCATCTCTGGAAGGCCAGAAGCTGTGGGGTGGGTTCACGCATATGGGTAAGATAATGGAATGCGGAGCCTCGTGTGCAACGCCCAAGAGCTGGTCAGCACAAGCTACAATCTACCAGGATGGCACATTCGATGTAACTCCTTTGGCCCCCGAAAGTCGTTGCACGCCTGTTTCTGTGGCTGCGCATACTTTGTATGAAAAAAGTCGACCTGATTTACTCTATGGCCCTGGCGGCTATCTTGACCTGACTACTGCGAAGTATGAGCAGTTGAAAGATGGAAGAACGGTTAGAGTGAGAGGTGGTACCTTCAAATTCTCTCGGGACGTTGGGATTCCATACCAAGTGAAGCTGGAGGCGGCGTGTGTCGTTGGACATCGTACTATGTATATGGGTAGTATAAGAGACCGTGAGTACTCTTATCCATCCCCCACAAATATAGCAACACAGTTGTAGGTTCAAAGGCTAATAAAGTTGCAGCAATTTTGATCGGCCAAATCGACGCGTTTCTCGAGCACGTAAAATGGTATGCCCGAGAACAGCACGAAGAAGCTGAAGGAACTTGGGAGCTAGACTTTCACTTATACGGGAAAGATCAAGTCTCGGCATTGCCTGCTTCAGCCGGCCAACCTTCGGAGATCTTTATCATCGGTGAGGCACTTGCATCTACGCAAGCGTTAGCAACCAGCGTCATTTCGGCGGCCCGTGTTGCCACAATCGTAGGTCTCGAAGACTGTAAAGTGAAACGGAAGAAGTTAACGACTGAAAGCATGCAAGCTACCCAAACCAGAAAGCCGGGGCAGGAAACTTTGCGTACGGCATCGGCGGAAAGATGCAAGTAGAAATGGGTCCCTGCTCCAGGTTCTCGATCTACCATCTTATGGCTTTGAACGAAGGCGAGGAAAAGCTCCGGATCCAACCAGACGACGAGGGGCCGCTGTTCTACCAGACCGTTATAACGTTCGGTAAAGGGCAACAAGTACCTTCAACCAATGGCTTTTCGTCCGCGGATAGTCCACTACCGTCCAAAAGGAAAACAAGAGAAGAGCACGTCTATCCCGAGAACGGCAAGCCCACTAATCAGACTAACATGCCAATGACGTTAGGTGACTTAGCTCGTATCATTCGATCAAAAAATGCGGGTCCATTCGAATTGACATTCGATGTCATCTTTGACGCTGAAGACGTATACCGAATGGTCAAAGAGTCAGATATTCTTAATAAGGGGGCGGTAGCGAGGCTCCTCAATGTGCAAGAGAAGGATATCATCTGGATCGGATTCTTCGACCAAGCCATGGGTTTCAAAGCAACAATCCCTCGGATGAGGAACGGTAGGACCGAACCAAATGGTGGTTTCATGGAAAATGATGTCCACGGATCGCAAAACTATATTGAATTGATGAATATGAAGCTCCCCGAAAGTTTCCTTCAGCGCTGGATTCAGGTTCGGGGTTAGGTAGACCCGTAAATGGAAGCCTTACTTGACCTTTGAGCTCTGTTCGTGGTATCTGGCTCGATATAACATTCAGCCTCCACATCCGTCCAAATGGTCAGGCTTATGGCGACTACTGTTGTGAAGGAGCTATGCCAAAGTCGAACATGTCCCAAAGTGAGTCTCCCCAAATGTCCTGAGGGAGACTAAAGTCCAATGGCTCATATTCTTCCACCATTTTATTCTCAAGCCCAACCGAGAGTTGGATTCCATTTGTGGCTGTATCGAATGAGTTCTTTTGCGGGTGGCTAACTATATCTGGTATAGTCTCCCTTGCCTCGCCGGATTTGTTTCGAAGCTCTGCACTCTCCGAAATAGCATCAAAGAGTAACGACGCTCCAAGGCGGTTGTCAATTCTGAGTTTTGCGTTCTCAATGTCAACAGCTTGTTGTTGACCCAAGTGCTCAAGAAGAGCTGCTGCTCTTAGCCTCTCATCTCGAGTATCATTGGTGGCGCCTTCCTTAAAGTAGGCATGAACGATGATTACGTGATTTCGAGCGAGTTCGCGTTCTTGTGCCGTAGCTCGACTATTTAGAGCAAAGTAGCGGAGAAGGAAAATAGCAGCAAGAATCAAGCTTCGGAAGTAGTTCTTCGGAAGGCTCCTTTGGAGCCACGCGGGGTTTAGGTCGTTATGCTCATCGGATACGTAAGGCAGACTTTCCTTGGATAGATACACAATTCGAAGAGCGGCGGAGAAACCAAGTTTAAGGAGGACATCGTGAGACGCAGGATCGGATTGCGTTCGTACAATGGTCATCGTGTAGAGTTGTAGTTTGGCAACCAAAACGTTGAATTCAGTCCTGGGTGTCCAGTCAGTAGGGAATCTTGTCTGCAGCGCGTCCAGCTCGCCGTCTATGAGCTCAACAAGAGAGTGATTGATGGGTCCGTTCGTATCATTCGCTAGAATGTTTGTGAACTTTGCAAGAGTATGGTGGACCATGACTTGATATGCAAATTCTCGTTGAACTGAAGGTTCTCGAACAAACTTTTCGATCGTATTTAGATCCGTGGTGCTATCGATAAGGGGTGAAAGACCGAGGAATATACTGAGCCTGTGTATGGAATGAGTAGGTTTTCTCGTCTTCGAAAATTTGATGAAACAAACTTACGAGGCGCTACTTAGAAAACACCCGAGCCAAGTATTGGATCTTGCCTGCATCGACCCTGGCTTGACACCAATACCTCGCAGTGAACGAGCGGGCTTTGGGCTGTGAATACCCATGTAAAGCGCAGCGTTGACGGCTACTCCACAATACAACCAGGTTGGATCTTGAATCTGCCGGATGGAGGGCAAAGGCCACATGATCAAGTATGAAATGGCTTGAATGGTATCGAGTGGGATGGGCGCTTTCAAAATTTCGGATTTGAGAGTTGCGACATAAGGCTCCTTCATAAGACTCCACAGATCGTCGTGAATTGATCTGGTCGCATGCGACATGACAATGGCAATGATCGTCCAGAAAAGGAATGGAGATGCTTGATGTATAGAGCCAATAGTAACGGAAGACTCAAAAATTGGGAAATGAGGATAGAACAGCGAGGCAAATCTATCCACAGAGGAAACTAATGTCAGCGAATACACCAAATCCGAACTTCAAGAACTTTTGACAAAACTTACAGCTTGAAGGAATCGACAACCATCGATTTATCAATCACAAAAGCTCCGAGTTGAAAGTTCTCTAGGTCTAATCCTGATTCATCGAACACAGGCCGGAATGAAATATTTGAAGGTTGTTCAGGTGAACGGAAGGGCTCATCGGTCATCGAGGATGGTGTTGACTTTAACACCCCTTCATCCCCTCGTTGGTTTTTTAAAGCCTCAAGCTCCCGTGCCATCTCTTCGACCCTTCTGTCCAAAAGTCAGAAGCATGAGCTAACAGAAAGCTGATTGATGAACGCTGAGTTAGAGATACAAACCTTCGAGCCGGTGTCCTTCGAAATGAGGAGTCCACGAGGCAATGTAAATGTTTTACTTGACATCTTGAGCAAGGTGCTGGAAACTTGGCTCTTGAATCGCATCGGAGCTGTAAACGATTAGCGAGACTCCTCCTGAATTAGAAGGTCTTACCTTGACCTGTTTACATTCTGTGCAGGTCTTGACTTGCCGATGGACTGGCCTGCTATGTGGGATTGAAGCCATATTGAGCGATCGGAAGAGGAGCAGGAAGAAGGTTCCCCAGGCAACAATCTATCACCTAGACGAAAGGGAATGCCTTATTAAGGTCATTGGATGTCAACCTGCACAATGCATTAGGGCGGACGGATTGCAATCCTGATGAAACACCGTGAGAGCTGTTTCGCGCGTTGGGGCTGTGAGGGTTGACACGGTGGGCCTTGGCCCGAGCAAGCTTCAGCTACGAGGTGCTAAGCCTCTTGTAGAGAATAGTCACGTGAGACACCCCATTTGAGCGATGCCAAGGTGGCACAGGTGACCCTTCCAAACACGCCTCAATGTTCCACTGTGTCTGAGTCTGCAGGAAGTATAAACTCTGCCTGCTGGCCTCCAGCCTCCTTCTCCTTTTCCTTCATTCTTGGTCACAGCCTATCTCAACCGTCGTTCAAAGTCATCTCATCAACCCACAACCCATACCAACCAATATCAACATCCTTAGCCCAAGCCTTCTACAACCACACTTCATAAACCCGACCGTACAGTTTAGTGGCAGAACGCACGGAATCCATTCCCCGTCCTGGTTTGCGTCCGCTAAGAGCCCGGGTCCGAATTAGGAATGAGGTGGTGAACTTAGATTTGATCTCTAGTGCGGCCCCTGCTATTGTAGAAAGCCAACGCAACATTCAACACTCGCCCTCCAAATCACTCCCCCTTACCACCATCCCTAAGTTCCCCCCGTCGGTGTATTTCAGTGGCAGAATACACCTCCCTCGTCCGCAGCCCATTCACTCACTTCCGACACCTTGCCAACCCTCCATCACGCCACCCATCCTCTCAGTTGGGCTCAGGGGCACTTCCTCACTGTATGCAAATGCTTTGCGAAACGCCCTTGAGCCCTCTCAAGAGGATGAGAGACGCGAATAAAGGTTCGATATTTCCATAATGTGGGTGAATGGGCTGCTGACGAGGGAGTGTGGACCCAGGTTCGGTAAGGATGCCGTCGTAATTATAGTATAACGGATCCTGATACTTCGTTAGATTCCTGGCGCCGGCCTCTTGTTTCGGGTGGTGCTGAGCAGAGGATTTTGGGACCAGAACCGCGTTTCTGACGAAAGCATGGACACTATCAATCACGGCCTAGGGGGATTTGACTTGATATTCGTTTGGCGCCGGTATAACATGAAAGTTTGAGTCTGCTAATACGTGTCATCCTAGTTCACCCAATCCGTAGTCGGATTTCATGTTCCCAGCAACCTTCGCCACCACTAAACCGCCTTCCCTACCTCCTATACTATCTATAACCACACCGCAACCTCCACCGCCACAGTCTCGTTAGCATCCATATGCTCCCAAGGCTCCAGAACCCTAAACTCCGCACCTTACACCAGCCATCTCCGCTGTCTTCAACCCCTTTCCCCCCTCATTGACAGCCATCATCGTAAGACCAAACCCTACCTGGATCTCGACTATCCCCATATCTAGCGGAATACATTCGTGAGTATATAGTCTCGAGTATCCAATACTCATAGCTTCTTAGTTGGTGTATTGGATGAGGCTGTTGTAGGGCTTGGTGGGGAGGGCCCGGCAGGGTTCAGAGAGATATTTGGGAGGTTTTACGGAGGTGATTAGGATGTCGAAGCTTGATGGGCTTCCTAAGTTTTGAAGGTTTGGATCTGGAGATGGGGACGGAGATAGGGACGTGGTAGGAAGTGTTTTCATTCTGGAGGATGCGGATTTACACGAATCAATGCCTTGCGGCGATGGGTGGGGAGGCCACGGCTTGTATAGTTTCTTATGCACTCCAGAGACCTTCGCCAGTTCCTTCCACGAAGTCTATGGACGCTATGATACCAAGCATGCCAGCCGTATTATCTTATTATGTGTCTGCAGTAGCATATATTCTCGCGTACGAACAAAGCAGCAATTCCTCCCTCTAGCCCTCTAGTAGTCTCTGCGAACTACGTCGATGAAGCCCATTCTCGTACACCCCGATCAGAGCAAATAAATTCAATCCCAACGTGATGTGAGAAGTTATCAACATAACATGCTAGAGAAAATGGCTAGCGAGACTATAACCGTATCCTGAAATCAGCTTGGTTGCTCGATTCACCAGATCTTCAGGCGCCGTTATGGGCTTTTTGTTTGACCTAATGGCCCTATTTCTCTCCATCTAGCCGCTATCGATTCTTTCAAACATAATATTGCCTAGTTCTGTGAGGAGCTTCGATGCTTCCTCCCCCGTGGATATGGGTTTCGCTGAGTGTGTTTGAGCGCCATGGTAGATGGCGGAGGAACTTGTGTCAGCTAAACGGTGGCTTTTGGGGATTCTTTCAGTATTGCGAAAATCCAAGCCGCATTTTATATTATTTCAAAGTTCCATCTTCGTCAGGGACTGATAGTACGTTAGAATCTTTGCCGCAAAAGTACTGTACTTCAGGCGAACTAGCTACTCCATCCCCCATATGCAGCTCCATGATGAATTGAAGTAAAACAGAGCTGATTGGTGGAGCTAATTGCATCTAAGGATCTAGTACATGGTTGGCGTGAGGCGAATGTAGCTAGCGTATGTCTTGAAAAGATGGGATGCCGATCGATAACGATATCTCGTAGAAAGCCTAGCTAAGAAACGGCTGTACAGCAGGAACTTCATCCTCTTTGGAATAGCTGACAGGAAATTTCTTTGTGATTTTGAGGCTTTTTGGGGAGCTAGCATCCTAGTCTGAGGTCTTGTTCTCAATAAATAGGTGAGATAGTTGCACAATTAGGTTTTTGAATATTTCCGGCATAAAAGTGTCTCCGCGTAGGACTTGGGAAGACTGGATCTTCGTAGGATATTAAGGACATCCCTTTAGGCATGCACATATATTGTTTCCTATGAAAGCGACGTTGTCTTAAACCGGCCTATTGCTGTGCTTTTGATGAGCTCAAGTTGCCACCTTCTTCAATCTATCACAATGCAGAAATTATTCATAGTACGAGAATCGCCTATCATCTCTTTCTTAGACTTGAACCTATTGCCCTTCCCACTCAACGTGAATAAATAATTGCATAACTTAGCAGTATTCTTCCGCTCTCGCAATGTAAAACCTAGGTTTCCCATTATCTGTACTAATTTGTTCTCATCCAAGTACCTCGAATTTGCCACACAAGGTAGCGGTAGAACAAAGAATAGAGCCGGGAAAATATTGTGAGCCTGGCTTGGTGATTGCAGCTGTTCCTGAGCACGCAGGAACTGGGTGATGCGTTTCAGCATCTCGCCTCGTTGTGCGGGGTCGGGGACGTAATTAAGCACGAGGGAGAGAGAAACGATGTCGAAAAACTCCTCCGGTGCTTCCGGCAAAGGCCGTTTCATGAAATCTTGCTGCGTGATGCCGGGGCCCTGGCTGTTGAGATCGATGCGCGTAACTTTAATGATATCCGGGAACTTAGAGATTTCGTTCTCACTGGACAGGGCTCCAACCTCTAGCAACCTGTAGGGTGCCTTTTTTGGTTCTTTGCTATCTTTCTGCACGCGGATGTTGCTCTTGATGATACCGTTGTGCTGGAGCCAGTTCACAAGGATTTTGCTCGAGTCGCCTCCGCGGGATTTGGATTGGCCTTGCTTGCTCGCCGCTTGGTAGACTTTTAGACCACCATTCCCCTCAATTGCGTCTTCTAGATGCGCAGCGAGAGTTTTGTCTCCCCTCTTTAAGGCTGCTGCGTGTTCCTTGTGAAGCCGATGATGGGTACGGATGATATTTCTCGTTGCCTTTGCACTCAATGATCCTCCTTCAAGGTTCTTCTTGCTGATAGGAGGCCGTCCACTAGAAAGAGCCTTCTGGCGCTTTTTGACCGCCATAGGCGCTGCGCCGTATATCGCATGGCTTGAGTGGTGAGGGCACAGGTTGGAGACTTCGATATTTGAATGAGGTGCTAGTCTGGGTTTGGGTCCTTAAGCGAATTTCAACACCGCACAACCACAGGTCCCTCGCGGACTTTCTCTCCAACCTCACGACCTGACACGACAACGACATCGCCATGCCGCCAAAAGAGACTACCAAGAAGGGTACGAACTCAGTCTCCCTCCCCTATCCCCATCTCCAATGATATCCCCCAACACTTCAACCCCCTCTATTCTCCTTTCTCTCGTGATGAAAATTGCTAACAGACACCAGGCGGAAAGCCCAGCAAGGCCGGCAAGCAGGCCAACGCAGCTGCCAAAGCAGCTCTGCGCGGCGTAAGGAACACCCCTTCCTCATGACCTACAAGGCGTGTCAGAACCGCATCTCTGACGGCTTTTACTTCTCACGAGTAATACGGGCGTGTATTAACGAGAGTAAAGGTCAACTCGCATAAGGTCCGCAAGGTGCGCAAGAGTACGAGCTTTCATCGCCCTAAGACGCTGGAACTGAGGTATGTAAAAAATATTTGGTTCTTGTCGCTCTGTGTGTATGTCGACGTCCAGTGGCCTGGACCACACGACGATTAGCACGAGCAATGGAGAAATACCACGACAACAACAAGCACTAACACCCTCCCTAGCCGCGCACCCAAATATCCCCGTCGCTCAATCCCGCACCAACCCCGCCTCGACGCCGGCAAGATCCTCATTCACCCACTGAACACAGAATCCGCAATGAAGAAGATCGAAGAAAACAACACGCTCGTCTTCATTGTCGACACCAAGGCCAACAAGCGTCAGATCGCCGCCGCCCTCAAGAAGCAGTACGATGTCAGCTGCGTTAAGATCAACACTCTGATTCGACCGGATGGGACGAAGAAGGCGTTTGCGAGACTTACGGCCGATGTCGATGCCCTAGATATTGCTGCGACGAAGTTGGCGATTGTCTAGATGGACAAAGCTATGGATTGAGGGGAATGTGGGAGTAGAGAGAGATTTCTGCATTCGAATACCTGGGATTTATCTGGGATGGGATGGAAAAGCGCAAGCATATGCATGGCGTTTGTGGGCTTCCTTGTAGTCAATTGATGACGGGAATCAAGATCCTACATGGTGCCCAACTATGGATTGACTTGTTTACGTGATGTGTACCACAAATTCTTCGTTGATTGTGAAATAATCTTCCTTTCGTGACGTTCACTTATCTAGAAGAACAAACGGCTCCCAAGCCCTCATTGCAAGCAATGTGCACAATAACTTCGCGTTGGATAGTTCGTCATCACCACCATCATTGAGTTTCGCCGACAGAGGCATAGTACTGTCTTCGAGTAACTTTTCACTATCATACAGAATGGAGATCTAACTAGGGCTTTCCACCACGGCCATAGCCGAAAGCGGCATTATACATGTCTAACCCAACGTGTGCCTCGGTTTATATCGTACATTACATGTGTGCTGTTCCTCCCTCCCTCTCTCTTCTGTGTGTGCGCGTGTATATCATTTGCGCGTAGTCCATCCACCAGTCCACACCTACGAATATATCCATCCGCTCTGCCAACTAATCGCAACAGCTACAGTCAGAGGAACTGCTCCCAGCCAACCCGTGGGCTCGACCGTCGCTGTTCTCGCATCGATGTTGGGACGGGGAGGGAGTTTACTGCCTCATCCTCTCCAACTCCCTCAGCACGACCAAATTCGCGTCCAGGAACCGATCCACGCAGTTTTTAATACAGGGTTCCTCATATTTATCCAGGCTGCCCTTTTTCACGGTACCTGTGGGTATGCATTTGCGGAAACAGGTGTCGGTTAATGAGTGGATTGCTGGAAATGTACCCCGAGTTGTTAGCGGGTGCGGTGCGAAATGTTTAGGTTTCTGGAGCGGTTGAGGGGGTGGGTGGGTTAGTGAGATGGGTAGGTACGAGGACATAGGGGGTTGGGTATGTATGGTGGGGAGGGAATTGAAGGGACGGTCAGGGAATAAAATTGGTTAGCTGAGAGGGAATGGGCGAGAGGTGCTAGAGGGAAGTATCTGGGACTACATACAAGCTTGTATCCTAGCCTTCTGGCTCTCGTTAACAACAAACTGCTGCAGTTCCTGTTTGTCCCTATCGCTGAGTTTGGTGACGTCGAGGTTTGCGCCGATTTGCGATGAGGCACTGATATCCATTCTGTCTCTGAACCTTTACTTGTGCTGGTGCTGGATCGGCGGGAGAGTGAGAGGGGAGGCGGTGAGTGCGTAGGGCGGGCGGTGTGCTGTGGCCCTGTTCGAATCGTTTGATGATGTTGTCAATAGAAATGGAGCTTTGAGAATTTCGTCTTGTAGCAGAACGGAGGTCGGGCATTTGGCCGATGATTAGTCAGCCCAAGAAATGTTCACCTTCTCGGTCAGTTGTTTAACACGGGAGGTTTGCAGTTTTGAGAGCAAGCGGAGTGAAATATTATCATTAGCTAAAGGTCCGATGGTCAACACGAGGAACAGGGGATTCAAGGGATAACAATAAGCTGGCCCAATGTATGCGAGCTTTCCAAAATACCAAATGAGATATTGTCCCTTCCTTCTCCAAGACTCAATCTCAATCTCCATCCTCTTGTTCTCTCTGTACTCCTCCCTGCTCTTTCTTCTACTCTGTGGACTTCCTTGCCCATTTTAAAAAGCCCATCTTCATTCACGCGGCTCCAATCATCTCCTTCGGAAAAAAGGCAAATACAGTACTCACAACCGCCATAATCGAACATGCGACAATCATCCCCCAATTCATCCACCATTCCCCGCTCCCTAACTCCTTCCCAAAAAGCTTCAAGTGAAACGCCAACGGTAAGATAAGACAAATCGTAAAACATGCCACACTACCTAACAACGTCATAATCCTATCAAAAGACGGGAACACAATCGCAATAACGACAAATACAACAGTGGTCAGAATACGCAGGGAGAATTTCAAAAGTCCGCGGTTCATGCCGGACATGCCGTTTAGTGAGGACGAAGCAGCAAGGGAGCGGTTATCGAGACCGGTGAGAATTTCGAGCGTAGAGGTGATGGGGCGGGCGTTTAGAGGTACTTTGGTGAGCGGGATGATGGCGATGCAGATGGCTATGAAAACGGAGAGAGCCTTGGGGTAGCCTTTAGTAAGGAAGATGTTGCTGGTGATTTCGTCGCGGACACCGTCGCCGAACATGAGGAGGCCCGCGCAGGCCATGCCGAGGTCGATGAGGAAAGTGATGATGTACGTAATATTGACACCTTTTCGGTATTTGTAGGGATGGCGCATGTCGCGGTAGACGTTGGGGAAGACACTATGGCCCCCCCATGGTGACATGAGGAGACCGAACGAGAGTGGAATGGTGAGCCAGTTTGAGGGAAAGAGGTACTGTGTCGCCGGCTCGCGAAGAGAGCCAGGTTGGTGAGGCTTGATGACACCGTCGGCCCATACAGCGATCACGACTGCAGTTCGGTTAGCATCAGGACATGATTGGGTCGAGGATGAGGCCGTGATTGGCAGGCGGATACTTACTGCCAAAACAGCACATAATGCCGAGAACTGAGGTAAATGACAAGGCCCGCAGCGGAAGAAAACCTAGTGGTACTAAAATGATGCCACAGACAATCTTCCATGCAACCACGCCCCAGCCCGAAATCAGGTCGTCCATGCTGTCGGCGAAAAGAACCACGAGAGCGACGCATGTCGCGACCAGCTCCACTGTGAAGAGCATGCTGACAGCAATCCGCGCGCCATTACCAAAGGAGACGTAAGCAAGATCGGCGAAAGTGATGAGCGAGCTGTCGACGTCCAAACACTTAGCAAGCAGCTTAGCGGTGTAGGAGGTAGCAATGGCAGAAAAGAAGAGGAAAATGAGACCAACCACCCAGCCCGAGTATTTCAGGGCAAGGGGCAAGCTAAGAAGACCCACGCCGACGAGGACATTGACCGAATTGAAGATGGTTTGGGGAAGAGTGGACTGGCCGACCACGACATTGATTAGCTGGCCGTCTTCCTCAATTTGCTTGACGATAAGCGGTTCACGCTCTTGGTCTGGCTCGGTCACGCCTTTCATCTGCTGCTCAGTGAACAGTCTCCCCGCATGGCGCATGGAAGACTCATTGACACGGGCAGCGAGACTCCCATACGAGGTGCCATAGCTTCCGCCAAAAGGTGACGCCAGCGATGGTTCAATGCTGAATATACTCTCATCGCGATGTGACCTCTTGGCACTTAATCGGTGTTCTACAGCGGAGGGCAAGAGAAGTGATTCTTCGGTGGGGGCACCATGTTCCTCGTCTTCAATCACGTTGTCTGAGGGGCGCCTTCCCTCAGTCTCGAATGCTGCGCGCAGGAGCGATCGATGGTCGGGAGCCGATAGGCCGGACCGCGGGAAGTCTTGTCGCTCGTCGCCTTGTTCCATGCGAAAGCTTGGCCGGACAGGCGTGATCTCGAAGAATCCAGCAGCGCGCTGCCAAGATCGAGCAAAGTTGTTCAAGCTGTTGACTCCGCCGGCGTCTCGTAAGGCGTTGATTCGCATGGACATTGAAGACCTGGGGTTCAAAACATCAGCCCAAGCTTGTCACGCTTCTTTTGCACAAAGAGAGAAGCTCAAGCTGCTTAGTAGGCCTCTTCCTACCTTCGACGTCGAAGATGGCCCTCACCATGTCTGGCGGGGGAGCCACCCCCGACAACAGAGCTCCGCTGGCTGAGGCGCCTCTCAACATCGTCGTCCCACTGCACACGACTCCCCGTAGTGCCAGTCGAGTCCATCGAGCCTCTGTGGCCTCGGTCGTATTCGTCCCATGTCGAAGGCTGCTTTCCCTTGATGTCCATGGTAAGTACAACACACGCACGCAACAGACACAGAAGAAGGCAAAGGAAGTAAAGGAGGCAAAGAGGAGAGCAGGGAGAGAAAGGCAGAGAATTTGGATCAAATTCTGTGGCCTGGCGGCTCTGGGGCGGGAGCTACTTGGGATAGCGACGGGTGGCTATCATCGGTGGACAGGGTCTATGTGGGAGAGAAACCGCCGACGAATGGCCATTGCAGTAGCGGAGATCACTGAGCTTATATGTTTCACGGCGAGATCGAACGATGGGAGCGTAGTTCGGGAGATAACATCACGAGGGAGGGTGTGCAGCCCCGCGACATCACCAAGCAGACCAGACCTACGGGAGGGTGGGTTGGGGAAGCACGATGGAGATGTGGCGCTCGGCATTGAGAACATCGATAACGACGGGGGATAGCGCTGTGATTGGCTGCTGACCGTAAGTTTGGCGTTATGAAAACATTCCTCTTGGCAGGCTGCGGCTTCGAAGGCTGCCGGGGGGATTCGTGTGAATGGGCCAGCGTCGCACAGCCCACATCTGCAGTCAAAATCTCGTTGTCGCGCGGTGACGCTCCTTCTCTACAGCAATATATCCCCCTCGACAGCACCCTCCTGCTGCTCCTCCATTTTGCAGCTTCCTCGACGCAGTCCCCGCCGCAAGGTCGGCCTTCTCTTTTCGGCCGCCCCTCCACACACAAAATTCTCTGCCCCGCCAGGTACACCCCGCGTCTCCCAGCTGAAGACAAGCCTTCACACCCGCAATCATGTCGGCGCCTCAGGGAAATGAAGCAGAGAAGAACATCGAAATCTGGAAGGTCAAGAAGCTCATCAAGCGTCTTGAGGCTGCTCGTGGCAATGGCACCAGCATGATCTCGCTCATCATCCGTACGTATATCATGGAGTTCTTGGCGCGAAACAGCCTGACTCACCGTGTGTAGCGCCCAAGGACCAGGTGTCCCGTGCCGCGAAGATGTTGGCCGAAGAGTTTGTACGTCAAAATGCCAAATCTGGAAGTCGCCATCAACTGACCTGCCCAGGGTACCGCGTCCAACATTAAGTCTCGCGTTAACCGCTTGTCTGTCCTTTCCGCCATCACCTCGACCCAGCAGCGCCTGAAGCTGTACTCCAAAGTCCCGCCAAATGGCCTTGTCGTCTACTGTGGTGAAATCATCACCAGCGAGGGCAAGGAGCGCAAAATCAACATTGACTTCGAACCTTTCAAGCCAATTAACACATCGCTCTACCTCTGCGACAACAAATTCCACACCGAAGCGTTGAGCGAGCTGCTGGAATCGGACCAGAAGTTCGGTTTCATCATCATGGACGGAAATGGGGCTCTGTTTGGCACGCTTTCTGGCAACACCCGTGATGTCGTGCACAAGTGAGTACACGTGACAAGAAGCCAGCTGTTGGATTCTAACTAAATAGATTCTCGGTTGACCTGCCCAAGAAGCATGGTCGTGGTGGTCAGTCCGCCCTACGTTTCGCCCGTTTGCGAGAAGAGAAACGTCACAACTATGTTCGCAAGGTTGCTGAGCTGGCGGTCCAGAACTTCATCTCAAACGACAAGGTCAACGTGGCGGGTCTCATCTTGGCAGGTTCCGCTGACTTCAAGAATGACCTGAATCAATCAGACATGTTCGATGGGCGTCTGCAATCCAAGGTCATCAAGGTCGTGGACGTCTCCTACGGAGGCGAAAATGGCTTCAACCAGGCGATCGAGCTGTCTTCGGAAACTCTCAGCAATGTCAAGTTCATCCAGGAGAAGAAGCTCATCAACAAGTATTTTGACGAAATCTCGCAAGACTCGGGCAAGGTTTGCTATGGTGTGGATGACACCTTGAAAGCTTTGGAGCTCGGTGCCGCCGAGACGCTGATTGTGTTTGAGAACCTGGAGATCATTCGCTGGACCCTCAAGAGCTCCGAGGGCTCTGAAATCATTCTCCACACCACCAAGACCCAGGAGGCGGACCGGTCGCTCTTCATGGACAAGGAGACTGGCCAGGAGATGGAAGTCGTGGACCAGATGCCGTTCCTAGAATGGCTGGCCGAGAAATACCGAGACTTTGGTGCCACGCTCGAGTTCGTTTCCGACCGCTCCTCCGAAGGCAACCAGTTCGTGAAAGGCTTTGGTGGCATCGGGGCCATCCTCCGCTATAAGGTCAACTTTGAACAACTCGCCGAGTATGACGACGATGAAGATGAATTCTACGATGATTGACGGTTAAGCGCCCTCGCCAACCGCGAGGCAGAGGCCCCCCAGCTCCACGCGTCGAGCCGAGGGATGTCCGATGCCCGCGAAGAAGTGTACCAAGACGCGTCTGTCATGAACGTGGAAGAAGAGGCCGAGACGATGACGCTTCGCCTCTCCAGGTTGTAAATGGGAGTGCGGATGAAGAGTTTGCAAGGTAGCTAGAGTCTGCACTATAGCTGGAGAGCCTTAAGCTAATGCGATCCGCAGGTAGATGGCATGCCTATTCTTATGCTCGACCCACTCTTGTTTCGCTGGAGAGGCGGTGGACTTGCAATCGATCAAGTAGTCTGTCCAAATCGCTCTCTGAGGAACAAGACCTAATCATGGTCAACGAATTCAGGATGCGCAGCAATGGTTAATGGTTAATCATCTACTCTTTCGCGATCAACTTCGTACAGCAAGCCCGAATGGGACAACGGGGGATCAGAATGTTTTATGTGCTTCATTAGTTACTCAGCTAGTCACTCATTTAAATCAAGCTGATTAAATTGTTTCCGAGATCGGATTGGTTGACGAGACCCTATGTGTTTTGTGCGATGTCGTGAGCATTGCGGGGCATAAATTACCGATATCGCAGTTTGCATGAAATCTCAGATTTGGAATCACCAGCACCGTTCTTACTGAATGTCCTCTGTCTATACGGATAAGACTCTATGTTTCTGTTCAATAAGAGATAAAGTATGGGTCGAGTGCTTGTGAACAGGGCGCAAGTGTGTTTTACATTCCCGAGATAGAAGCCGATGCCAGAAAGTTAACGTTTCCCGACTCAAATTCTTCACGTCACTTGACCGACCATCAACAAAACAGTCGCTGGAAATCTGAGGGAGAAAAGATGACGGAAGAGAAGCCTGTTGTGGCTTTCTTGGGTCCTAAGGCGAGTTATACGCATCAGGTAGGTGTGTGCTTTGGTTCGTCCGCATTTCTATTGTCGTAAACCAGTCTATTTCAATCATTTTCTCTAGCTTTTTATTTCCAGTCTTTCCAGTCTCCGCCAGTCTGCTCCTCCTAATCCCTCCCCTTTTCTCTCCTTTCAATCTCTTTCCCGCTTTCCTTTCTAACCTCCCTGCCCAGGCCACCATCGACAACTTCCCCTCCGCTGCCTACGACCTCTCCCCCCAAATAACTATCGAAGATGTCTTCAACGCCGTCCAAAACTCCACTGCATACCGTGGCGTCGTTCCCTTCGAAAACTCCACCAACGGCTCCGTAGTCTTCACCCTAGACCTCTTCGCAGACTTAAACAGCAAGTACCCTGATATTCTCGTCTGCGGAGAAGCGTACGTTAAGGTGAAGCATTGTCTTTTGGGAAATCAGGGGAAATTTGGGGGAGGGCCGAGCACGCCGGGTCAGAATGAGGGGGAGAAGCAGGATCAGAGTCAGAATCACGGGGTTGGGGTCGGGATTGGCATTCACACAGGCTTAGGAGCAATAATCGAATCCCCCCTCTCCTCTGGTGCCGTAACTCCCACCATCCTAAACCCCCTCCCCACCAAGCCCTCTGCCCGCCCCATCGGCGATCTCCGGGGAATCAAGAGACTGTATTCCCACCCCCAGGCCTGGGGACAGTGTAAGTCGTTCTTGAATACATATTTAAAGGGTGTAGAGCGGCTGGATGTGAGTTCGACGTCGAGAGCAGCGGAGATTGTGGCGGGCGATGGGAGTGGGGAGAGTGCGGCAATTAGTAGTGGGATCGCGGCTAGGATTCATGGGTTGGGGATTTTGGCAAGGGGGATCGAGGATAGGGGTGATAATGAGACAAGGTTTTTTGTTATTGGGAGGGCCACCACCGCCGCCAATGGGATATCAGAACACCCTGATACAACGATAAATACCGCTACGGTGGCTACGGCTATACCTTCGTCTGAACACCTAACGAGAGATGTCCATGCCAACACAAGCGAAGACAATGACCTCGACGGCAAGCAAAATTACAAATCTCTTATCTCCTTTACCGTGGACCACAACAACCCGGGCGCTCTCGCACATTCTCTCTCGGTTTTCGAAAAATACGGTCTTAATCTCACATCTATAAACACACGACCCAGTGGCACCGAGAACTGGAATTATATTTTCTTTGTTGAGATCAAGGGACGGCGGCTAGAGGATGGAGAGGGGGAAGGAGCTGTGAATCAGGCGTTGGGGGATTTAAAGGACGTTTGTAGGGGATTTAGGTGGTTGGGGAGTTGGGAGAATAGGCTTGGGCGGGAGAGGTAGAGAATGGGGAGATAGGCGGAGATGATGGGCTAGGATTGTGAAGGGATGGTGGAAAGTCTCCCTGTGTAACTGCTGAATGAAGGTGCCAAGCCTTTGTCGGCATCGCGCTTTTTTCGTATAGGAAGCTAATTACTCATGTCATGTTTCTCATCTGCCCCACCATTCGATTTTGGAGCCTCTCTCATCGCCATGATCGCCACTCTGACGACAGTAGGACGTACTTGTCTAATGCGCTAATCTAAGAGGGACGTTGAACTTGATGGGGTAAATTGTGGTATTATTGCACACTATGTCTTGTTCACAGGGATTTGCGCTATGTTGGGGCTTTGGGGGACACATGAGAGCTGATTAGAGAGACCTAGGGGTTGATTGGAGAGACTTTGGGGGCTAAGGGGTGGCTGATCTAGATACTTCTAAGGCTGTTCATATGAGGCCCGAAATTTGCCAGCATGTCCATTGCGACTTAACTCTCCTTGATAGAAGACTCGCTCTTCCATCCTTCCCATCTCCCTACATCACTACCCTCATTATCTCCAACTGTTCTACTTTCAAAAACTGCGTTCTCCACTAGTGGTATATTCATTGTATGGGTGGCTTTGCTGCATGAAACATTCGAAAGAATAGCAAGGATACACTGTTAAGGAATCATATTATTCATTCTTAGCATTCTGGTAGCGCTCTGGAAGAGGGAAGTAGAAGTCTGCTACATGTTGACACCTACCATAAGTCGTGTGTTTGGGACTATATCCTGACGTCATGTTGCTAGAATACCGTCCTTAGCTGAAGGAATGCTTATTCGCTGTCTTCATCCTCATCATACCCTGGATCGCCAACGTCGTTAGAAAGCTTGTCCAAAGTTCTCTCAATCGCGCCCATCATAATCTTTGGAAAATTCTGATGCTCATCTGCCCTCAGCACCCCTCCATCAGACCCCTCAACAAAGGATCCTCTGAATGGCGTAGTGTCAACAATCTGGCCATCAAATATTAACTTCATCTTCAAGCTCATTCATCATCCTGCACTTACATCTCTGATCGGCTTGCCCTCTGCTGTCTGGTGAGAAGGCTTCAAGCCGTCGTCAAGCCGTCTTAGGTACTCTGCAGCCTCGACGTCGTCACCAATCTGTACGAATTGTATCCCGATATAGCTCTTTGGAGCACGAAGTTCAGCAAGTTCCCGCGCAACGCTGACGATATACTCTTCGACGGCTTGTTCGTCATCGGCCTCACCGTCCGTAACCACGACAAGATTGAGAGGCTTAGGCGGAGTGAGATACGGATTCTTCTTCCTGCGTTCCGCGAACTCCCGCACCGCGCTCATGCGTGGCTCGATGGCCGCAACTAGCTGATCCTTCACAACAGTGCCTCCGCCACAAATAGGGTCGGCGAGGTTGATTTGGCTCAGAAGTGCGGTGACATCGTCAACATTTTTCAGCCCCTGGGCTTGTGGGTTCAATTGCACGTTTTTTAGGAAGGCAATGTCAATTCCGTTGTCGTCGTATTTGGCTGCGATTTTAGCGAAGACTTCCAGTGCAACCACCAATGCCGCCCAACGTTCCGGGACGGCGATATTTTGTGGATTGTAACTCAGCACGGGCTTCTGCATTGAGCCTGTGTCGTCGATAATGAAAACCGTGTCGTAGATCTTAAGAGATTCGAACTTGGACTCATCGATGGAGCCGATATCCGGTGCAGCCATTGGAGTGTAGCTTGGTGGGGCAGTTCCAGTGCGTGTCAACCCAGGGCTAGTGAATTGAGAGCCAAAGGTAGAGGTCCTCTGAACTAGAGGGGGTAAACGTTGCGGATGTGTACTGGGGCCTTGTCTTGGTCGAGTCGGCAGAGGAATGTCTCTAGATTGGGGAGCTGGGCCATGGCTATAACCAAAGCTGCCACCGTGCCCATGGCTCGAGGTGTTGGATCCATTATGGCCACCCCCGTACGAGGGAGGGCGTGCGACTGGTGGTGAACTTGGCCGTGGCACCCGCCCACCACCAAAGTCGTCAGCTGGGGGGTTTGATCCACCCACCGACTCATAGCTAATACTTTTTACCATTTGTATTATGCGATCTTCCATGGTGCGATAAGAAGACTCTTGTGAATGGGAATACTTGATCATCTGGACGTGATTCGCGTTGATAGCCAGAGGAGCAACATCTCGGTCAAAAGCGCTGATAGCGGATTCCCGATTGGTCGTCTGTGTATTTCGTTAGCTGAAATGACAAGACTCTTCAAAGGAGTTCTGGGACACACCAAGCTGGTTCCAGCTACCGCATCGGTTTCATAGCATGGGAAGATCTGAATGAGGTTATTCTTTCGGACTCTATTAAATCGACCAACGATTTGGCCGAGAGCAATAGGCCGTTGTTTCAGCGACCGAACGAGATTCTGGTTGATTGGCCAGAAATACTGCATCGAGAGCAGCTTAACGAAAGGGTAAATGAAATTTGCCTGGCCACTGCCTCTGAAGGGCGTACCAAGAAAGACGATGCCTGTTCATGCATTAGACACCGCTCTCTTCAGTGTACAACTGTGTGAAGAAATGGTACCTTTCACCATGCAAACGCCATTGTGCATGAACAGATTCTTGTATTGCTGTTTTATGGTGAAGCCTTGGTCTGTGGAGAGGCACGAAATCAGGGCCTGGCCAAATCAGCAGAGGTCCTTGTTTTTCAACAGTGTTATCTTCGAAATACCTGGCAAATAATGAGACCGCCCTAATGGGTTATATTAGCTTTCACCCTTTTAGGTTCGCAAGACCACAGATTGACTTACGAGGCTGTGGCACACGAAATATATTGGCCTGTTGGGGTGCTATACCATATTAGCAAATGTATTCGACTGTGGAAGGGAAAGGCGCTGTTTAGCTCACCTTCTCACGGTCGGCCATGAAATTCACAAGTAGCTGCTCTGCAGCCGTCGAAATTGTTGCCTGAGGGTCCGCATTCACAACAGTATTTGCTCGATGGCCATAGGTGAGGATCCTAGCCTTGATGCCTTCATGATGGAATCGAGCTGGAAGGAAATCGCGGGGCCACATACGCGGCGGTTGGTCAGGCTGCTGCGAATTAGCGGCCCATGACTGGAAAGCGTGGCCCCCTAGTCCATGAACAAAGCAGAAACTGGAAGTGATCAGTAAGGACATCGCCAAGTATGGGTCAGCAAATATCAAGATGAGGGCACACTAGACGTACTCTATATTCGAACCGTCCACGTCTGCGAGGACATTCAAACCGTAAAAGTCCGTATCGAGGTGTATCCGCGAGGGAAGCCCTAGGAATGTGGAGTTGTTGAGTCGCCTCACCACCACGTCTCTTTTTTCATCGTGCAGTTCTAGAGTCACAGTTGCTAGGGAAGTGCCAGTCTGGGGGTCAAGCACAATTGGAGACACAAATGGTGTGCACCTTGTTTCATTGCGAATATGGTCCTCGACGTCCTCGACGATTGCATTCTGTGGCAAGCCACGAATGATGCAATTGAGAAATTCGCCACGAGGCACCATGATCAATTGTAACGTCTGGGTAAGGTGGAGTAGTATATGTTTTGAAATAATATAAACTCAGGGAATGAGGCGCAATAAGTCGAATGATGGCGAGGAAAAGGAGGAACGCTGAAGAAGGTAGCCTGGGGCATTCATATGGCTAGAAGCTACCGTGGAGAGGCCGCCAGAGGACGGTCATGGATAGACATAGAACCACAGTGGCGGATACAGTATGGGTCAGAAATGAGGGGCTTGTACCAGGCTGAGGAGCTGAACCACCTTCGCCGAATAGTGGCTTAAAGCAGAGCCGCCTGCCGTCAATCTTTCGTCATCAGGCTGAGGAGCTGAGCTACGATTGTATCCAAATGGCATGAGGCAGAGCCGGATCTGGTTAAATTTGATGCGCTTCGAGTGTTTGTAATGAGTATGAATACCTACAGCCTTGACCGAACTGATCGGTCGCCGACCCCTGTTGTTGAAATGATTTCGATGGTTGACGACAGTAAGACTCTGACTCAATCGGAGCATTTTTCATTGCCTGATTGCTTTATCTGCACTGTTGCCTTGCCCTCGAAACACAAAATCGGATGGAAGTTCAGCATTTGTTGGCATTACTCTAGCCTTGCGGTAGGGACGGGCCGTCCGTGCTCATGGTGGTCTTGCGTTATTTGAGGCGTTCGTTAGAAGACCAGTAGAGTTGGGGCGGAATGCTTACTAATTCTACATCTGCAACTTATTAACTAGCTTTCAATGACGTGCTATCGCCAAAAGCAGTTGGTGTACACGAATAGTCACTTGGAACGCTTCTGTCCACCCCATTCCCGGGTTATAATTGAATGCAGAGTGATATTAATATTAACTAAATGTCACAAAATTCTTGCTCTTGGAAAGGAATTCCGAAATTCAGCTTTCCTTTTACCCTATTATCTGAAAGATTTTATTCCGAGAAGACCAGCCGGCTGGTCCGTGCGGCTGCCAACATTTCTTCCCTTGCTTCAGCGGACTAGGCAACAATAAATTTAACGTGTTTAACAAGCGAGCTGGATGTTGTGTCTTCTTCTCTTTTCCTATTTTTCTTTACCTTGCCTATGCTTGGCTGTATCGGCGACAGGGGAAGCCAGTTGAGGAACTAGTCCGAGAAGGTAGGTCAAAAGTAGAGAGACAATGTATTCTTCTATACTAGCCAGTGGCGTGCGAGAATGTCACCGTGGGCTTCTTAAACAACTATACAGTAGTAAAGATAATCTAGTGTATCTAGTAATAATTTAAGTATCACTACAAAAAGTTTATCTAACTAAGATGTAATAGCACAGGCAAGACAATAGGTCTAAATGCGGTAGGAATCCACTTAGAGGCATGTGGGAGTGCGTGGGGACTTAGAACCTGGGAATTTCCATTAACACCTATAGGCCTTGTACAGAGGATATTAGAAAACTACTAAGCTAGCTACAGGGGTGAGGTGCGACTAAATACATGAGGGAATAGGGGTAACAGCAGGGGTCGGGGCCAGGTCGGGGTCGGGGCCGATACGGGGGCCTTCCGGGCTATCCGAGATGGAACGATTCATGAGGATCGTTACAGATATTAGAGAACTACTAAGCTAGCTAAGAAGAAAGGTGTAACTAAATACTTGAAGAAATAAAGGTATAGTAGAGGGTAGAGTAAAGTTAGAGTAGATATAAGAAACCTTTAAATATAAGGTTTACTAAGTTACTTTAAATAAAATAATTTAAATAAATTATTACACTAACGTACTTCACGAGCGAGTTGCTCACACACCTGAGTCGCTTACTTTTGCTAAGACCACACCCTAACAAACTCTATTATGACCCATAACAACCCGCTCTAGTACTATATAGTACAGTACAGCCTAGAATATTATTTAGATACTACTTCTGCTTCTTGCTTACACATTTGCGCGTTATGCCTAGTCTAATTGCACTATCTGCAGCGTCTTTAGAATAGCTTACCTACTTTAGCTTGCACCTGCTTTGTAACGATTCTCACGAATCGTCCCATCTCGGGTCGCTCAGATCCTATCCGAAGGGTCCCCGTATCGGCCCCGACCATGACTCGACCCTGTCCCCTGCTGTACCCCTATTCCTCTATGTATTTAGTCGCACCTCGCCCCTGTAGCTAGCTTAGTAGTTTTCTGATATCCTTTTGTACAAGGCCTATAGGTGTTAATGGCATTCCTAGGTTCTAAGTCCCCACGCACTCCTATATGCCTCTAAGTAGATTCCTACTGCATTTAGACCTATTGTCTTGCCTGTGCTGTTACATTATATTAGAAAACTTACTTTTGCTAGTAACAGCCTTATTATAATAACGTACTTTACAGGCAAGTTGCTTACACACCTAAGTTGCTTACTTTTACTAAGACCCTACTAAACTACTTTTTTTACACTAATATATTTCTAACAACACTACTTAAACGTGCTAAAAGAATGTTAGATATAGCTTACACTTTAAGCTTTTAAATAAAGCATAAAACTCTTAAAGAAACATGCTATAGCTATGTATAAAGTCCTTTAAAAGATAATAAATAACTATAGCACTAGATAACCTTTACAAGCTAATTTTATAGCTAACTTATAAAAGCTAAGTAATAATAAAAAGTAGGTAATTATTAAGACTATACTTAAGCTATATGCATAAGGATTTCTTTTAAATAGCATTTATAGCTAATATAGCTAATTCTTTACTCGCTAAGTGTATTCTAGGCTATATTAGTATAAACTAGCCTAGTATATTTATAAAGTTTTAAGTATAAGTATAGTTAATAAATATTTAGCTTATAATAAAGCCTATTTTACTAAAGTTATACATGTTATTATTCTAGATGCTATACTTAGCTTTAATATTCTTTATAAAGCTAAACTTACTTTAAATTACTTTAAAACTTTTATAAAAGGCTTTTTTTATAGTTATACTATACTTAAATGTTACTTTAAGCTTTAAATAAAACTTTTTAAACATACTAAGCTAGTTTATGCTAATATAGCCTAGATTACGCTTAGCGCGCAAAGAATTAGCTATATTAGCTATAAATACTATTTAAAAGAAAAATCTTTATATATATAGCTTAAGTATAGTCTTAATAATTACCTACTTTTTATTATTACCTAGCCTTTATAAGTTAGCTATAGAATTAGCTTATAAAAGTTATTTAATGCTATAACGTACCTAACAGGTTAGCTGGCTACACAGGTTAGCTAGCTACTTTTGCCAAGCCCCTACTAAACTCTACCTATCTACATAATGCCTTAACAACAACACTAAATTAAATTTTTTAAAGAATGTTAAATACAGCTTACTTTTTAAGCTTTTAAATAAAACTTAAAACTCTCCTTATAACACGCTACAGCTATCTATAATGTCTCTTACATAATACTAAGTAATTAACGCGCTAGACAGCCTTTATAAGCAGAATGCTAGCCTAAATTAAGAAATCTAACTAAGCTTAAAAAAAAGGTAGTTGTTAAGTATATACTTAAGCTTATTACACGCAGATTTTCTTTTAGGCTTATAGCTATAGCTAATATAGCTAATTTCTTGCCTATAGAGTGTAATCTAGGCTAGGTTAGCTTAAACTAGCCTAGTATATAGGTTAAGCACTACTCTAAGTTTATAATAAAGTTTAATTATAAGTATAATTATAAAAAAGTGCTTTATAAAGATCTAAAGGTTATCTAGAGCTAGTTTTACCTAGTAGCTAATATAAAAGCTAAGTATAGTATCTAAAATAAAGACAGGTATAACTTTAATAAGTTAAGCTTTATAATAGGCTAGATATTAACTAGAGCAGTTATTATAGCTTTAGAGAGATAAAGACAGCTAAAAGTAATATAGTAAAGTAATAAAAAGTAGATAATAATTATCTAAGGCATTAATATAATAAAGTAGGCTATAAAATTATAAAGCTTTAAGTAGCAAATAAGGCTACTATATAACATAGATTACATAAAAAAAAGTAAATTTAAGTAAAAAAAACTTTAATAGTTAAAAATAAAGCTTATCTAACTACTTTAAAGGAGTTTAAAGCGCGTAGTAATAAGAAAAAGCTAAAGACACAAGTGCGCGCTAAAAAAAGTAAGCTAAGTTAAAGGTAATATAAGTAGTGTAATTAGACTAAGTATAACTTATGTACATGTAAGTAAGTAGTAAAAGTAGACTCTAAATAATATCTTATATTATATTACTTTATATAGGGCTAAAGTAGGCTGTTTTGCAAGAGAATAGAGTGGTTTTAGTAGGGGCTTGGCAAAAGTGGCCGGCCAACCTGTGTGGCCGGCCAACCTGTTAGGTACGTTAGTTATTTATTTTTTTTTTAAAAAACTTTATATATAGCTATAGCATGTTTCTTTAAGAGTTTTATGTCTTATTTAAAAGCTTAAAGTGTAAGCTATATCTAACATTCTTTTAGCATATCTAAGTAGTGTTATTAGGAATGCATTAGTATAAAAAAAGTAGTTTAGTAAGGTCTTAGTAAAAGTAAGTAAGTTAAGTGTGTAAGCAACTTGCCTGTAAAGTACGTTAGTGTGTAAGTATTACAACCTAAACTAAATTAGACACGTCTTAGGCTTAGACGTAGTTATACAAATAATTAGTGTAATATTATAATAAGGCTGTTACTAGCAAAAGTAAGTTTTTTAATATAATGTAACAGCATAGGCAAGACAATAGGTCTAAATGCAGTAGGAATCTACTTAGAGGCATATAGAACTGTGTGGGGACTTAATGTTACGGTCTACGGTTGGACCAGCGTAACTCCACCGGCAGTGCTCCGCAATCTAGCTGGATTGGAACAGGGCTCGCTTATGGACCAGTCGGAGGACACGGAAGCAGCACCACTCCCCGCGGTGGTGGAGGAGTGCGTTGTCTAGTAAGGAAATGGGCCACAAGTCTAGCAAGTCTAAGAGAGCTTATAGAGCTCTCCTTAGCAGGCTTGCATAGACTTGTCCTGCTTGCCTTAGCACCCCCCTGCATATGTATATAGTTTCTATGTTTAACAACCTTTAAAAAGTGTGTTTAATGTTTAGTTTATTCTTTACATAGACTAAGTAGCATTTAGCTTTCTAAAGAGCTATAATACTATTTGTATATCTTACACTATATATACCTTTAACTTTATCCTATAGGTGTAACGATCCTCATGAATCGTTCCATCTCGGATGG